GGCGGGGGGGGGGGTTGCACCCGAGAGGATCCCGGCCCGGGGAAGGGAGCTGGGCCCTGGGCGGGCAGGCAGGGTGGCCGAGGCTGTGGGCTGCACCCGGGCTGTTGGGTAAGGCCGCGGGCTCTGTCGTTTCCCCCTCGCTGGGACCGGGTGCCCGCTGGAGCTGTGGGCCAGGGCCCGGGGGCTGCTGCCCTCTTGCTTGGCCTGGCAGCCTCACTGCGCTGCGGGTGGCAGGGGACTGCCGGCAGGCTTTGCTGCAGTGCTTTCTCTGCCGTGAGAGCACACTCTGGGCCATGGTTTGGAGTGACTGGGGTCTCTTTTCCTCACAGGCTGCAGGAGGACGCACAGAGCCTGTCTGAGTAAGACCAGGATGGGAGAGTCTAATGGGGACCTTCCCATGCAGGGAGACACCATCCTATCCGAGTTGTGCTGTGATCACGTCACCATAACAAACCTGTGAGTCTGGTGTGCTGTAAGGGTCAGTAGGTTTGGCTACTAATGCTGTTAAGGCTAAAACATCTCCTTAGGAGCAAAATTTTTTCTTTCTGTGTAACTGCCCTGAGACAAGAGATACCCTGATTCACAGCCTGTGATGAACACTTATACTGCCATCTGAAAATAGCATCTCTTTTGGGCTGTAGTCATTACTTTCATGTGTTACAAAACTAAGCAGAAATATGTATGGTTTTCAGATTATTTTCTCCCATTTAGGGGTTATACTGAGGCCAATGTTTTCAAAAGCAGCTGTCAGATCCCTTTTGTCACAGACAGGCAGACTTTACATGGAAGACAGCACTCGATCTGTTGCATTCTTCAGAAGTTTCTCTGTGTTTTAATGCCTCATGGAAATCTGGCCCTAACTGTGAATATGACCTTTCTTTGAGAACACAAGTCTGTGATAACCATGGTCTCTTTTTTGCAGCATTTAGTAATTGCAATGCATAACTATTATGTTTGAATTTGCATAGAACGGTTTGGGTTGGGTGTTAATAAACCAGATGAGCTGAAATCAGTTAATGAAAGAAGCTTAATCATATAATCATAGAATTGTTTGGGTTGCAAGAGGCTTTATAGATCACCTAGTTCTAACCCCCCTACCACAGGCAGGGACACGTGACACTAGACCAGGTTGGTCAAAGCCACATCCAACTTCACCTTGAACACTGCTAGGGAGGGGGCAGCCACAGCTCTGGGCAACCTGTGCAGTACCTTACCACACTCATAGTAAAGAATTTCTTTCTTGTATCACATGTAAATCTACCCTCTTTTAGTTTAAAGCCATTACCCCTTGTCCTATCACTACATGCCCTTGCAAAAAGTCCCTCTCCAGCTTTCTTGCAGGCCCCCTTCAGGTACGGGAAGGCTGCCATAAGGTCTTCCCGCAGCCTTTTCTTCTCCAGGCTGAACAGCCCAAACTCTCTCAGCCTGTCCTCATATCAGAGGTGCTCCAGCCCTCGGATCGTTTTTGTAGTCCTCCTCTGGGCCCGCTCCAGCAGGTCCCTGTCTGTCCTGTGCTGAGGGCTCCAGAGCTGGACGCAGGACTCCAGGTGAGGTCTCATCAGAGCAGAGTAGAGGGGCAGAATCCCCTCCCTTACCTGCTGGCCATGCTTCTCTTGATGCAGCCCAGGATACCTTTGGCCTTCTGGGCTGTGAGTGCACATTGCCAGGTCACGTTGAGCTTCTCATCAACGAGCACCCCCAAGTCCTTCTCCTCAGGGCTGCTCTCAATCCATTCTCTGCCCAGCCTGTATTTGTGCTTGGGATTGCCCTGACCCATGTGCAGGACTTTGCACTTGGCCTTGTTGAACTTAATGAGATTTGCATGGGCCCACCTCTCAAGCCTTTCCAGGTCCCTCTGGATGGCATCCCTTCCCTCCAGCCTGTTGACTGCACAGAATCACAGAATGGTAGGGGTTGGAAGGGACCTCTGTGGGTCATCTAGTCCAACCCCCCTGCTGAAGCAGGTTCACCTACAGCAGGCTGCACAGGACCGTGTCTAGATGGGTCTTGAATATCTCCAGAGAGGGAGATTCCACAACCTCTCTGGGCAGCCTGTTCCAGTGCTCCGTCACCCTCAGAGGGAAGAAGTTCTTCCTCATGTTCAGCTGGAACTTCCTATGCTTCAGTTTGTGCCGAATGCCCCTTGTCCTGTCGCTGGGCACCACTGAAAAGAGTTTGGCCCCATCCTCCTGACACCCACCCTTCAGATATTTGTAAGTATTTATAAGGTCTCCACTCAGCTTGGTGTTATTGGCAGACTTGTTGAGGGTGCACTCATTCCCACTGTCCAGATCCCCAGCAAAGATGTTAAACTGCACTGGTCCCAATACTGACCCCTGAGGGACACCACTCTTCACTTGAACATCGAGCCATTGCCAATTCCTTATCCACTGAGTGGTCCATCTGTCAAATCCATGTCTCCAGTTTAGAGACAAGGATGTCATGCGGGACAGTGTCAAATGCTTTGCACAGGTCCAGGTAGATGACATCAGTTGCTTTTCCCTTATCCACCAGCGCAGTAACCCTGTCGTAGAAGGCCACCAAATTTGTCAGGCACGATTTACTCTTAGTGAAGCCATGTTGGCTTCTTAGCTGCAGTTTCTTAGCTGCATTTAATGCTGTTCCTTTAGTAATGGTGTACTGCACATGCAAATTACAGTTTTATTTTTTTAAAACCTCTGTTCTGTTCTACAGAAGAAAGCTGGCAATGTGAATGTGGAGACTGAGTAAATATAGTGGTAACTTGCCATATTAGGTTGTGTGTTGTTCTTTTGCCAAGAATCCAGGAATATCTGCAGACTTTTATACTAGCATGAGTTTGTGTCAGATTTAGAACTCAGTTCTGCAGCTTTGGATGATTCAGGGGGAAGGAATTATTTTTAAAACTCATTTTAAAACTGCATTTCCAGTATCTTGTTGGAAATGTTTGTTTTCTAGGGTGGAAGCGCTGAGATCTTTGGTGGCTTTAACTGACCCTCAGGAGGGGAAGCTGACTCAATCTCAAGAGAAAGTGAGTGACTAACAGACTTTCCATGTCTGTTTACAGCATTGTTGCAGAAGATCCTATAGTTAGGTAATTGAGCTTATTCTAAAATACATTATAACTGTTTCTATAATTCACATATTTACAAGCTGAATTGAGGTGCATGGTTGCTAACTCAGTTTCTAATTGCCTGGCAAGTGGTAGCGTGATCATCAGCCGCCGCAGTTCTGTGAGGTTCCCTTCAAGCAGGTGGCAGAGGGAATCGGGTATTCCAGCCGCCACTGGAAGTCAGGCTTCAGATCGCGCTGCCTTTTACTGGCGGAAGGGCCAGCTCTTGCAGACCCGTGCTTGCACTCTCCCGTTGTTCCCATGCACAAGCATGGCATATCTGATTCATTTTCTTAATCCATTGGGACTGATGTCTTGAGCTGGCTCGTTTTGTGATTGCAGGAGTCTAGTAGTGACATGAGAGCTTAAACCCGAGGAAGGAGTGGAACTTGTACTTTGTGTTGCTTTAAAGCAACCCCTGAAACTGCTGCCCTTGTTATTTTTGTGGCTTCTCTGCCGCGGACCTCGATCAGCGATAGTGTCATTTGTGATAGGCAGAATGTGGTGGTTATTGGGATGGGAGGTAAAGTAGCTAACGCAGTGAAGGATCATAGTGGCCGTAAGAAAGTGAGAGAGATTAGGATGTGTTTTTTGTGGATTTATACAGTATGATAAATGAAGAGTGTAATTTGGACAGGCCATTGCTTTCTCTTGGAAGATGTGCAAAACAGTTACGGGGTATTCAGATTTGTTCAAAAAATTTATGCTCATCTTTTAGTAATTGGACCTGCTGAAACCTTTAATGAAATTTGGTGTGCAATGCTATTTTTAATTACTTTATATTCTTGTATTGAGTCTAGTATAAGTCTGTAATTTTAATCTGCATTCACTTCTTGAATAATGTTTTTATTTCAAGCAAAATTACTGAAGAATCCCCTACATACAGATGCCTGTGATATTGCAGTAATAATTATTTTGCACGGCACAGGATGATAGTCTTGGTTCTCATTTCACAGGTGAATTTTTATGCTCCTTTGTATTCTAGGCACTAAACTCGCTGGCCATTTGGAAAACCGTGTTTGCAGCTGTTCCTGGGCCTATGTCAAAGACCTCAGTGGAGTGATCGCTCGAAGATGGGAGATCAGGACAGAGGAGAACCCTTTCTGGGGATAGTGGCTGATGGTGCCACAGACTACGAAGGAGCTCTGCCCTCAGACACAGTGTCGCTCAGCGATTCTGATTCCGATGATTTGGGGTTAACGGATGAAGCAGAAGTTGATACAATATCTCCTGAGGAGCCAACTGTAGATGATGGGGATTACAGATCAGGGGAGAGCCCCGACTCTTCACACAGCAGTCACAGATCTCCTGTCCAGCCGTTCCATCTGAGGGGCATGAGTTCTACGTTCTCTCTCCGTAGCCAGAGCATTTTTGATTGCCTGGAAGAGGCGGCCAAGTCATCTGTGCCCTCAATGCCTGAAGATAATGTTGTTGATGGGAGGTTTAAGCGTCCGTTGCCTCCAGCCACAGTTTCAAGTAACATGGTTCCAGAGGGCCTGGGAAAGCAAGCCAAACCAGTGCAGGCTCCCAAAACCACTCCTGCAGTGCCCGACTATGTGGCACACCCAGAGCGCTGGACCAAATACAGCTTAGATGGAGTTTCAGAGTCTACTGACAAGACTAACAGGGCAGTGGCCATGGAATTTCTAGAGGGTTTGAAGAAAAGAGGAGAGGAACAAAGTTCAGCTACCCAAGATAGCTGCACCCCATACTTCAACCAGGACCCTTCCAGCTGTGGAGCTGGAAGGATTGTCTTCACCAAACCAATAAAAAGGGGTGTTGATGGACTGGAAAAGAAAACATCATCAGAGGAGGATGACAGGAAGCACATGAAAACAGATCCCAAAGGAAAATCTCTTAAGAAGACTGATGACTGGAGGGAGGAGGATAAGGTAGAGCTGGGGCACTTAGACAGTGGAAGTGGAAAGGCAACAGAGGAGGAGGAGTGCGTGATGGCAGGGGACCTGAGTACAGAAGGTAAGCTTAGTGCAAGGTTTAGTGGCACAGGTGAAGAGCCATTGGTGGAAACTGTTGGATTCCATTGCAGTAAGAAGAAAAATAGGAAAAATTTCCGACCTAAAGTAGACGATGAAGGGGAGGAGGAAGAGTCCTGAACAATGGAGCACATTGGAGACGTCCAAGGACTTGTGTTGTCTTTTGATAGGTTTGATTTTTTTCTCTTAACTTTTTTTTTTTTTCTGATCTGGGAACCATGTGATAGCTTTCTGACTAACAGTTTGCATTGTAGCCACCAAGGACATTTTATATTCTTAGAAATTAAGGTATCTAAAATACACTCGACTTTTTGTTCATGAGAAGTTTGTGGACACAGGATAGTTGCACCCTAGCAGGAGAGAACAAAGTGTGCTTTGTTTGCTTGAGCAGCTCCCTGGGGCCCACTCTGGGGCTGAAGTAGCCCTGAGCGCCAAAGAAAAAGATGTGTTAGCTGAAAGGCTGCAAGGCTTCCTACTAACCCCCAAATTTAGAGCTGTTCCCAAATCCCGTGGAATCCTGGAACAAAGAAGATGAACTCATTATGTAGAGACTTTTAAACGATGAAAATAAAACCTAGTCTTCCACTAGATGTGATTTCGCCTGGCCTTGTCCCAGGGAGGACATTTTTTTTTCATTTTTTGTAAACTTTTTTTTAGTTCATCCTTCTCTGCTTGCCATTGGGAGTGAAAGCACAACAATGCCCTATCATGAGTTTGGAGGGCCCAGGTGGGAACTGCAAAACCAATGTTTTCTTAATATTGGATTACTATTTACCTTATTTAGCGTTACATGATAAAGATTTTAAAAAACACAGTGTTTCCTGCGGGGAGGTACAACTCTGTTACATCCTGGTGAAGACATGCTCAGGATGGCTTCAGCAAAGTCTCACCACATTGAGTGTAGGTCAGAATTTGCAACAGCTTCAGTTGTGAAGTTGGGCAGCAGCAGCTTTTGCTCTTACTGGTGTTCTTGATCTGTACATCTGTATGTCCTTTGCAGGTGGCAGTGCTTCCACATTGATTCTGTCTGTGGATTTGGTGGGAATAGGGTATTTGTACCAGAGCTGGATACTTTTTTGTTTTTTGGGATTCAATAAACTTTCAGTTGTAGCTTGGTTTCTTCATGTCTTTGAACCATGCTGATTAATGCACCTATAGGAGTTTTAACAAATACTAAGTCTATTTGATTTGAGAGTTGTCTTGAAAATCTTCTAAAATGTTACTCTGAGCTTACCCTGTTGTAACTTCTCCCTTGAGTCTTCTACTTTAGATTCTAAAATTCACATTTTTAACATTTTCAGTCATTTTACAATATATAATCACCTCATAGGATGAATGACCCCATACGATGGATCACGTAATGAATGTCAAATATAGTAGTTTTTCACTCAGAACATTAATATATTTTATAAATATGGTTGAAAGATTAAACTCTTTGAAAGGTTCTATGTTTTGAAACTCAAATCAGTTCAAGTCAGTTTGGACTGACATTTTTTTTTTGCCAGTATTCTAAATTAACCAACCCCAATGTTAGTATTTATAACCATGTAGCGAAAGATGACTTCTTTAGAATTTGTGATCTTACTTGCTAGACTGTGCCTCCTCGAACTCTGAAGGATATTTGAGGAGGTTACTTCCTCTGTGGGGGTGTCAGGATCTTATCGGTAATTGACTGGTAGGCCTAAATCATTTGGGTCTTTGTGTTTGAACAGATGTGTCATTTGGCAGCAGAGGCAGAAAACAATGTTAAATGAGTAATATTGCTCCATCTTTTGAAATTCACCTTTGAATTTTAAAAGCGGAATGTATTTTCTCATGAGTGTACAGTTTGATGCACATTAATTAATGGGTCATTGCTAAATACATCAGTGTTCCAGTGCATGTGAGTGGGATAAAACAACAATTCCACATGGCTAGATTTTGGTTTCCAGTGGATAATTAATGTGCTGATCACAATTAAAATAGTAGCTGTTTCAGAACGGAAGCTGCTGCCAAGAGCAGGGCATGCTGGTTGTATAGTACGCAGTATTTCCTAACAAAAAATGTAGCTCGGGACAAACCTACTGGTTTTATAACGTATGCTTGCCTAGGGTGAAAAACAGGTAGAACAGTACCAAAATTCCATCACTGTTAAGGGGGTCACAAAAGACTCTTGTCAGAAAGGAATTTTTATCAAATGTGAGGGTTTTTTTCCCTGCCCTGGTAACATAGAAATCTTTTGTGCAACCTACATTCATGTTGTGTAGAAGCAGTGTTATATGCATGAGGAAATTAGGTTCAGTGGAAACTTATCGGCGTAAGAAGGACCACGACTGTATACTTCCCCCTTCTAATGCTGTTTTATTATTCCAAAGAAATTTCCCTTTAAAGGACGGTAGCAATATTCGCTTTATTGGTGTATCTTTTCATACAAAATTCTAATAAAGCCAGCTAAACTTTGTATGCTAGAAACATACACACTAGTTCAAGTAATGAAAAAGAAGACAGTCCAAATTCCTAGTTGGTGGGAAAGTTATTGCTACACATTCTTGCTCTGAGTAATTTTTTTTCCTGACCTTTGAGAGAAAAGTAAAATGAAATCAGAAAACTGCTTAGGTGTAGATGCGGTGCTGGATGTGGTGCGATGCGTAAAGGCACAGTCTCCTTTAACAGCAGCTATGATCTGGCGTTGAAACGAAAAAGCAAGCAGCTGAGGCTGTGGGGCTGACCGCGGGAGGGTCACCTGCTGTGGCTTGGAAAGGGATTGCAAGCCACCGCACGCTTGAGGACCGCGCGATGTGGTTCCAGTTTCTGGGGCTGAGTAAGGAGCCCTCCATAAGGCACAGCAGCAATTGAACACCACACAGAAGCCAGCGTGGGAAGGGAAGATGGTGAGTGCAGTCTTTGAGGGCTGGAAGAACTCTGGGAACTGAATGGATTGTAATAGTTCAGTATCCCAGGCCCTTTCCTGTGGAAACTATTTCTTGATTGCCTTTCTAAGCAGCTCGGAAATATGAGCTTTTTTAGTGCATAAATGATCACCTTTCAGAAGGGAGACTCCCTTGAACAGCGAAATGTGGAAATTGGCGACAATGATGTTGGACTGAGGGTGTGGTGTTTGGAGAACAGGAGGCAGATCCTGTTTAGAAAATAAGGTGGTAGAGTCATCCTGGAGGAGAAAGTTTTTAGTGCGAGTTGTGGAATGGAGTTTTGGAGAAAGGACCAAGCAATAGAGGAGCAGGAAGGGAGAAGCCAAAGTACCTGAAGGAAGACGACCAAGAAATCCTCAGTAGTGTCAAAAATTGACAGTGCTTGGCATAAAGTTTTGAGAGGTGGGCCTCAGGCCTTCATGAGATTAGGATTTTACTTCTACAGTAATTCAGTAGGACAAAAGGTTTAATCTGAAGAAATGAGAGTAAAATTTAGTTATCAATGTATGTGATGTCAGTCTCGGACTGATCTGCACGCTCTTCTCTTTCACTTCTTTCTGTCAAAGGCACTCCTGTGTTGGCATTCATCACACCTGATAGGATTGTAAAAGCCATGTGCTTGCTTAAAAGCCTTAGGACAAGGGGAACATAATAGTAATAACTTAAGAAACTTTAAAATGTTGAAAATAATCCACAGTAAAAAGATACTGTAGATTCTACTACTTTGCATTTGCTCAGTAAATGGTAAAATAGGGTTTCTTCCTTATTTTTCAGCTACTTAAGTTTCTGATTTTTATGCAGTTACAGTATTAAAATGTCTGGGAAACATGCTACAGGATGTTTTTTCTTACTGGAATGTTGATAATGAAGCAATTTACACGTTTTATACACTTCTAACAGAATTATGTCAAGTTTGTGGTTAGTTCAAGTCTGAGTGATCTGGGGTCTTGTCATGTCGCGACTTTGCTGGGTTTCCAGCTACTTCTTTTTCCCATATAGTGTATATATATATGTTCAGTTTATGTGCTTTGGAGAGCTTTTTGTGTGACAGATAGTAGTAGGTAGATGTTGAAATAGATCATTAAGAAGAAGATCCCAAATCTTTATTGTGTTGGATATTCTGCGGTGGCTGAGACACAGCCTGTTTCTGTCTCCAGTGTTTTAAACTCCAAACAGTGGAGCCCTGGGACACAGGACAAGATGCTTAACTGACAGAAACAGTTGCAGCTCTGAAGGCAAATGAGCTGTGTTGGTTAAAACAAAGTAAGAGGCTTGCTCAACTTTTTTTTAAAATTACTATTGTTATCCATATTAAATGTTTTGGTAATACTTTGGTCGTGCTATCTGATCGACTCAAGAAACCCCCAAGACACAATCCTCTCAAGAAACCCTGTGGCAAATGGATACTTATTTACATACTTCAAGCTGTGTGAGATCGTTCTAACTTACACTAAATGGTAGTCCTTTCCACGAACCTTTTAAATATACTTTGCAAAAGGTGATTTTTTCATTCTGAAGTATGAATGTTCTGTTCCTTATTTATATTCCCATTACCTCTAGATATACTTCTTTGCAGCTCCATATGTGGTTCTTTTCCAATTTTTTTTTTAATTGCTTTTTTTAAACTACATTTTTTTTCTGTGTTAAGTAGCTTTTCCATGATTGTTTTTAATACTTACGCGTATAGTTTGGAACTGGTTGATTGCACAAGAGGTTGGTTTTGGTTAAAACCTCTGTCATTGAGGAGATAACAGCTGTACAGTAGCAAATCTACAAAACAGGTAATGATTTCTACGTCAGCTAATTTTTAGAGTACTTTATCCATTCTTAAATTTGCAGGAAGGATAAGCTAGGCAGCAGACTGAAGCAGCATCAGAAATACCACATATTTATTTTAAATTTTTTTTTTAAGAAATAGTTGAATTGTCTTGGAGGAAGGTTTGTATTAAATACCTTCCCTTTTTTGTAAGTGTATTGCATTATCTCAAGCTGGCACAAAGCTATTAAAGCATTTTTTGTGTGTTCCTGTTGGACCTGTATTTGTTGTCACCATTGTTCCTTGAATAGCATAACTTTTTCAGGAAGCCATAAAATGGATGAGAAAGGGGAGGGAACCTGCAGTGGGGGTATTAAGATAAGGAACTCTCAGCGAGGCCAAAATGACATTGAAGAGTTCTAGGGACAAAGGAAACAATAACAGTTGTGCTATGT